TCCCCAACATTCTGTGATTCTGTGAATTCTTTTCTAGTTCAGAAACCATGGCTTTGTATGTAAAGTCTACGGTACTTCTCTCACACGCACCACTTTGCATCTAGCAATCTTGATTTGTGTGTGCCATTTTATCACCCTGTAAGCCAATATTGCAAGAATCTTCTGCAACTTTTTGTGGTTGGCTTTCATTTTATTGCCTTACGTATCACCATCACCAGACTTCATCTCACTGCTCTGCTCTTTGGTCCAGTGTTTATGAATTCGTTGAAGTGCAGTGGCCCTGGATCTCCCAGGAACCCATTTGTGGGATGTCTGACTTCATTTTCTCAAGTTTGCTGATCAGGCTGCTCAGACAAATAGGTCTTCATGAGCTTGTTTGAGCTTTTTTGGAAGCTAATACCTATCACATTTAAAATTTCTCCATCTTTACCACCTAAAAATTGCCTTTAAATGTGTTTGTGTCTTTATAGTCACTGCACACTAAAATGTTGAAGAGGAAGTTGTCTTGCTAATTATTTAAGCTTGAGAGCAGCTGAAAAGTAGCATCAAGGTTCTCCTGAGAGCAGTTTATCCTTTTTGACAAGAGGGCTTCATCCCCTGCATCACTTGGTACTCTGACCATCTGAACTGTGTCCTTTTGAGGGAGAACTGGGAGCTCTCTTTGGTAATGCAGACTCTTGGATTTAGGAGCCTTATTCGTTCAACCTTCTTGCATGTTTATGGAAGTGTGCAATTGTAATCTTCAGGAGGGCATTACTTCAAATTCATCTGTACCTGAGGCACATGAGCAATATCTCACATTCTTTTTTTTAAACCAGCACTGTTATTAGCCATAAAGTGTTCACACAAGAAACAGAAAATTCTTATTTTTTTCCCTGTAGGTTGCATGCTTTCATTTTCATCACCTCCCTTTGGAATTTAAAAGCAGTTTTTTGCATTCACTGCTTCACTCCTGTGATTGAATTGTCTAACTGGTGGAGGCTTTAAGTGATATTTTGAACGTGGTCCAAAGAAATGATTAAGCTGGTCTCCCTAAGTGTGCTCTGATTTGATTTGGAGTCACATGAAATACTGGCTGGTCTAAATGAATGAATCAGGGACTTCTCATTGCCTCATTCTTGGTTTTCCATCTTAAGCAGCAGAATCCTGCTGAGTTTTGGCTGTGCTAGCTGTAAGGACAGAAAATGTCTGGCATGTGGCTGAGGAAGGAGGAAGAAGACACCTCTGTAGTGAAAATCCCTCTTCTCTACTCTTTGTCCATATTGGTCTGAAAATGTTAATTCTTTGTTTTTTTTAATTTCTGTTTTTCAGGAAGCAGACTTTTTTTCAGGTGCCCCTGGCTATACCAACCCTGGTATTCGCGTAGAGGAATTCTCAACAGTAACTTCAGGAAAGGAGTGAGTAAAGTCATAGATAGGGGTCTCCCAGCAGCATGTATGGTGGATGGGAAATTGTCACCAAAGTCACTGATGGACCCTAAGACAAAAGTACTTAGGAGAACAGGGAGCACCAATGTTTTGATTAAGGCATGGTGAAATCTTTGAGTTTCGGGGGGCTAAATACCTGCAGGAGTACTTGCCTCCCCTCCCCTCCCCTGGGAAAATATCATTCCTAGAATACTTTGTTTAGGCTGTTTTATATTAAAATTACTTTAAAACTGCCTGATTTGTCCTGTAATTCCTATATTGGGCTCATTATAGTTATGTGATTTCAGGTGGTCGAGAGATGAATCACAATAGCAAAGTTTATAACACAGGCGAGCACTCATGGGAAAACACTGTCCTTGTCTCGTAATTAATCCTTGCCTATTAGCTCATGTCCTTAGGGAAGGAGAGGAAACCCTTTATATTTTGCACAGGAAAAGTTACCCTGCAGTTTTTGTGGGAATGCATTGCAAGGTGCGGGATGCTTTGGTAAGGCTGGTGTGTACGTGGAAGCAAAGCTAAGCCGTGTCTGAGGGAAGCATCTCGTATGTCTGCTGTGTGTTTTAGCTTTCCACAGCTCTGCGTCCGCAGTGATGAAGCTGACCCCGAGCAGAGCTCCTCTCCTGACCTCCCATCTCTCCAGTTTGCAGTCCCTCCCCAGGTAAGCAGGAGACTGGCTACAAACCATGACCTCTGCAGCTGATGCTTCACCAGGCTGCGTCAGTGCACGCTGACCCTGGTGCGGTTACCTCCTTCGTACACCTGCTGTCCCTGTCCTGGGCTGTGCCTGCAGGCGTGGCTGTGCCCCGCAGTCATGGCCACTCTCCTGTCTCAGCTCACAGATGTGATCAGATATATTCAGTAGTTCCCTCCTAAGCTCCCAGCTCAGCTGTAATACAATGTCTTGCTGCTCCAGTGCAGTTCAGTGACTGTATCTAGGCTACTTCCTTGATGTAACCAGCTGTGCATGTTCTGTAGAGCAAAATCCAACAGTTTATATGTTCAAATGTGGGTGTTAAAGCATCTGCCCAGGGAAAGATGGCGTGTGTGGACATGAAGCTTGAGTGCATGAAACACAACGGCAAATTTTCCATGCTCTTGATATCCATGTACCTACATCCAGATGCTCTCCTTGCTCAAATGGCACATGCTGGTGCTCTCCCCCTTTCCTCCAAGATTATTAATCAAAGTCTTGTCATCTAGATGATAAGAAAAATTACTTTTCAATTCTACTTGTAATTTGGACAAGACCTCTCTCTCTCTTTGGATGTCCTGTGTAAATTTCAGTCCCTTCTTCTAGTTTGACTTGGCAAATGCATTTGTCCTAGTGTCTCCTGCATCCTCCAGCTGTATGAGACAACAGCTTTAAGGTACCTACACACAGAGAATGTGTGTGTTCATTATTTAATACTTGTTCTCTATCATTGCTTTCTAGTAACTCGGTCTTAAACTATAAAATATTCTTGGACTTTGGTCATACCTAGTGCTCATTATTAAAAATAAGAGGAATTAAAAGGAGGGAGCAATTAAAAAACGCTGTCTGTCACATTACTTTGGGCTGATGAAGTGACTTCCCTTCTCTTGGGCCTCTTGCTTTCACAGCGACAGAAAAAAAGAAGAAAGAAGACGCATAAAGCTTCTTCCCCAGCAGTGGACAGACGATCTAAAACACACACTAGACCTGGGCCTTTCCCTGATCTCCAGTCAGGTGAGATCTCTGCTTCTGGACGGGATTTCTGGTTGCTGGCACACAGAAATGAAGTGTGTCAGGGGAACCCAGCACTGACAGAAATCTAACATGCCCAAGAAGGGAAAATGGGTGCTTGGAGATACTCTGCAATGATCAGGCTTGGGTACACTGCTGGGTGTAGAAATCCATACATTTTCATATCTAATTTTGTATCAATATATGTATGATTTTCTTTAACACTAGTGGATCAGCCATATCAGAGTTGCTGGACTTGTTGATGTCTTTGTGGGGCTGAGGGATCTCTGTCTCTCTCTCTCTCTCTCTCCCCTTAAGCTTTCTTCTTCCTTTCTTCCCATCTGCAGAGTTCCCAGCAGCCACGGCTGCTGCCACTTCATCTTCCCACAGCCTTCGCATTTTAGTGCCAGCTTTTCCTCTCAGAGCTGCTGTGCCCCTCAGCAGCATTGGCCTCATCCAGGCAGCAGGACCCCCAGCTGACTATCACTCAGAGTCTGCTGAGTCCATGGATGAGATTCCTGTGGCTCAGACTCGCCTTGGGAGCGTGGCCCTTCATAGGCCTCCGAAGAATAACTCAAGCAACTCTCAACACTATCCCTTGTCCACAGACAATCCCAGAGGTGACAGGAAGAAGCATCTGTATTCCGGGCACAAGGTAAAAAGGAAAAGCTGCCAGCAAGAGAGACACGTGGAACGGGACCTGGAACTTTTTTCTAAGGTTCCTGCTGTGTTTGTAAGTCAGAGCAGTGGGGAACCTCATGTCTCTCAGCCCAGGCAGAGCACATCCGAGCCACACCACAGAAAATGCACCAGCAAGCAGCACGCGAGCAGACATGATCCATGCTTAAAGGACATAAGGACAAACACCACAGTGGCCTAGTGATCAGCTTTCCAAAGCCATAGCCCTTGGGGACAAGGCAAGAGGTTCTCTTCTCTCTTCCTATTTATATGTTGCTGTTCAAAGATCTTGACTCCAGTGACTTATTTCCCTTGGAGGTAGCAGCGTCCCTTTGCCTGGCGCTGTCCATCTTCCAGCAGATCCAGCTGAGAGGCAAAACCTCACTGTGTCGTTGTTCCTGGTTGCTGCATCTTCCTGAGCCAGGAGTGTCCTCGAATTCCACTCTCCTTGTCCAGGGGCAATAGTGTCCCCAGATAGGGATGTGCCCGGGGCTGCCACTGGTTAAGGACTGCAGCGTTAGAACTCTGCTGAGTGCTGAGGGCTCAGCCCTATGCCGTGTGCTTGCCATCACACTGCAGTCAGACCTTTCTCACGTGTGACCAAAGGTAAGAGGCAATAAGGTGTCAAACCTGAGGTAGGTGTGTTGCCAGAGAGAACTCGGGGGCTTCCCATGGGAAAGGGCTGCGCCCTCCCGGCCCTCTGCACACTAGCACTGCAGTAACTGTCTGGGAAGGTGTGTGGGGAAGAACAAGGCTGCATTTCTGCTGTTCCCTGCACCCTGAAAACTAAATTTCCCATCTGCCTACACCCTGTCAGTCTTTGGATCATGTGCAAGGGCTTCAGCAGTTGGTCGGGGAGTAGCCTCAGGATTGCCCTGTCCCTCTCCTGCTTTCCACTGTGCTCCCTCAAGCCGAGTTCACCAGCATGTACTCTCTAAGGCAGTGTAGTCTGACCTGCTCCACCTCCCCAGCAGCCTGGGGTGCCCCACAGTTCAGCTTTCTCATCAGCAGCTCTGGGATACAGCAGATCTTGAAACCTTTCCATTTCCTGGGCTGCCAGATCCACGTTAGTCCACAGCCAAGCCCTGGAGTCTCTGTAGCGCAGAAAAATCCCGCAGCAGACAGTGGGGCACGTAGCCAATGCCTAGAATCATGGCACCCTGTGCTGGTGGTGCTGTCTGGGCTGCCATGCTGCAGCCCCTCGGCTTTCCCTGCCCTCTTGGCTTCCCCAGGCACCATGTCCTGTTCCGAATTCCTGGCTGAGGCTGGGGCTGGGGCTGCCAGCAAGCCCAGATCTGCCCAGCAGCCAGTGAACCTCATAGCCCGGGATAGCAGCTACACACACATCCCCATGGGCCTGGGGGTCATTAACCATAATCATTAACCCAGCATGGATGTGCCAGACATGATCTGACATCCACGGCACCTGCACAGCCCCTGCCTCCCCAGCACGGCCGGCACCCTGAGCAGCCCTGAGCCGGCTTGGCCAGCTGCACTGTTTCTGGACAGGTCCCTGGCACTGCACGCTGCCGGGGGCACATGGGTGCACCAGCAGGGAAGAGGAAGCCTGGGACGTCTTTATCACCCTGGCAAATGTTCTGATGCGTGGAAACCACAAACAACCCTTTCTCCAGACTATAGTGGGTGCGGTTTAGGGAAGGACAAGACAAAGCAGGGTGCTGTGTGAGTCCAGCTGAGCTGTTCCTTCCCTCGCCTGACTCAGTCTGCGATCATTCATCTGAAATGGTTCAGAGCAGGACAGGATATCTGGGGACAAATGCCCTCTGGGCACAGCCAACACGGGACAGGCAGGCTGGGCTCCCAGGTTTGATGCACACACTTCCCAGTCCAGCTGTTGCCCATCATCCCAGTGCTCACACTGGCTTCTGTGCTGCTCTGGGGTCCACGCAGAGTCTGCTTCTCCTGGAGCTTTAAGCCCAGACAGTTTCCCTTCTGGAGAGCTCACTTCAGCAGAGAGAGGCAGGAAGGTGCCTGCTGTATGTTGAAAGCCTCAGCCCATTCCAGGAGCACCCCTGAATGCTGGCAGCTGGCCCAGCTCCCTCATGAAGCACCGCAGCACATCACTGTCCAACACCACGCTGCGTGGTGCTCCTGCAATGGACATTTCAAGTAGACCTCAAGGAGAAGGCAAAGTGCTGCAGCTGGAAACACATGATCCTTGCAGAGCTGAAGCTGGAGTAGGGAAGTCCTCTCTTTGCTGAAGGGTTTATGGGGTAAGTGTGGCTCATAGACAAGACTATCCAGGCCGAGCTCTCCCTGGGACAGTCCTTGGGGAATTTTGGCAAGGCAGCGTAGATCAGTGACCCCAGGCTCCTTGAAAGGGCTGTCTTCCCATCCTTCTCTGGTGTCTGAGTTTTGGCTCCTGAAAGAGCTGGGATGGGGAGCTTTGACTCTTCATTGAATTACATTGAGCCACTGATCAACAGAAGTGAAGCCTGCTGCAGCTGCTGAAGTCATTATGTCTAAATTAGCAGGAGGGGTTGGCCCGTGGTCACACTCCTCACAGCTTCCCTTGCTGCTTTGGCCAGTGGCACCCGCTGGCAGTGTGACCCTTTGGAAAAGCAGGCGTGTGTGGGACCGAGCCTGGCGGAGCAGCAGTCATGGCAATGCTTGTCTGCAGAGACCAGGGCATCTGCTCACCGATGGGTCTGCGTTAGACAAAATCCTTCCCGTTGTGTCTCCTCACATCTGCTGTCACCCAGGAGAGCTGCACCCTGCAGTAACGCTGGGTGCCGGGTGTCCCAAGGCCGGCTGTCCTTCCACCCAAAAACATTGGAATTTCCTCTCCAGCAGGTGCCTCTGAGCAGACCTCGTGTTTTCTTACCCTTTGTCCACGCAGAACCAGTCCCAAAGTCATGTGTGGAGCTCTTCAGTAGCTCTGTCCACAATAAAATTTTCTATGCTCTTTGCTAAATAGTTTCTTCCTGGTTTTTTGCCGTCATACATTTATCTGCCCCCTCAACTTTTCCCTGAACCTCTGATGACCCAGCTGGGCTTAGCACCTTAACCTGTGGGGGTGACAGTGGTCCCCTCTCTGTAGGTCTCTGTGGGTGTGAGATGGGACTGCCTTCCCTGCAGGGTCGGGGATAGACCACCTTCTCCAGGAGGTATGTAACTCCATCCTGGCTTTTGTGCTGCAGCAGGACAAGCAGGAGGAGGCCAGTCAGGCCATGCACCGTGCTGCAGGAAGGCTGCTGCGCCCTTTGGGGTGAGTGGAGCTGGGTTTCCTGGTCTATCCTGTTCCAGAGAGCATGTCCTGAGGTGGCAGGTTCTGAGCACAATCTGGGAAGGAAGGGGATGTCCTACACTGCTAGCAGTTTGCTGGGACATGACCCTCTCCAGGAGCACGGGGCTCACAGGATCCCAGAATGGCCTCAATTGGAAAAGCCCTTTAAGCTCATCGAGTCCAACCATGAACCCAACACTGACCAGTCCCCGACTAACCCATGTCCCTCAGCACTATGTCTACACCACTCTTCAACCCCCCGGGGATGGGGACTCCCCCCTGCCCTGGGCAGCCTGTTCCAGTGCTTGACAACTCTTTCAGTAAAAAAAAAAAAAGCATAATATCCAATCTAAACCTCCCCATGAAGCTCCATAGCAGACCTGGGGCAGCAACCAAAGGAAGGAGTCGCATCGGGGTACCAGTGCAGAGGCCAGCGTGCAGGCAGAGCGGTCCTGGCCACCGAGGACTGCCATGACCATGAGCTCAGCCCTTGCTGAACCCAAGGCCATCAGAGAGCTGGGTGAGGTGACAGCAGTGCTCCTGATGCCTCCAGCTCCCCATCGCTGCAGGAACACTGGGCTCTGGTGAGCACCTTCAGCACTAAAGAGAAGTTTTTTGCCAGAGCACGAACTCTTCCGTCAGCAGGAGGCAGCACCCTGGACGGGCGGTTCCCACCACGAGATGCTGTGGCTTTTTTTATTAGGAACAAGCAGTGCATCTGCGGGATGGTGACAGCTTTCCAGAGTCCTCTCAAATCATAAATCCCAGTCCCTGGCCACTCGCCAGCGGCTGTACCAGGCCTTGCAGCACGTTCTTCTCTCAGCCTTGGTGTGGGACAGGCGCCCTGCTTGCTGTCACCTTCAGGCGTGGTTCGAGTTCCTTAATTTTCTCTTTGAAGTCACAAGAACCTTCCTTGGGAAATGGTTTTTGGCGAGTCCGTTGCTGGGCTCTGCTTTCCAGACCTCCTGAGAGCATCTCGAGGGGCTGCCGTGAATTGCAGGGGGCGTGGGGAGGGGAGAAGGAAGCTCCTGGCAGAGGAGGGTCCATTTCCCCCCCTCTCTGCCCTGTCCTGTGCGGCGCAGCCGG